ATCATCATGGCGGGAAACAAGGCAGCGTGCAGGCAGACATGGTGCTGGAGAAGGAGCTGAGGGTTCTTATATCTTGATCCCACAGGCAACAGGCAGTGGTCTGAGACACTGGGTATATCTTAAGCATAGCAGACCTGCCCCCACAGTGACACACTTTAACAAGGCCACGCCTACTCCAACAAAGCCACACCTCCTAATAGTGCCATTCCATATAGGCTTATGGGGGCCAATTACATTCAAACTACCATAAAAAACAATCTGAAAGTTTGCCTGATGGATGGAAAAGTAAACAACATTTGGAAACTACTACTTACAGGTAAGTGCTTGCACAAATACTTTCTCCAGAAATTCCTAAGTTTCCTCTTTGCAGGTGCCTGTGAAAATGTGGTTCAGAGAAGGAAAGTGTATCCAATGTTCTGAGTGATACAGCAGGAACTTCAAGCTGTTTTTGTTGTATTTTGGTTTTGGTGTTTCATGTAAATAGATATAACCCATCTTAGCATTCTAGTCATCTTCCATGTATTTTCATTGCCCCAGAACATAGTCCACTCAGGAGTATGGGGGAGAAAAAAATTAGGAAAAGAACTATGGAAATTCCACTTCAATGGTCTTCTTTTCTATACTCCATGTATCTTTAAAAACTGAAGGTCATCCAGGTGGCTGAGGAAAGTCTCTTAGTGGCAAAAGCTACAGTGTCCCCACTGTAGCATATCTAACACCATGCACAGACTGCTCTAAGGTTAGCTCACTGGCGTGACCTCTCTGTCCCTGTGTTTAGAAGGGCCCATTCCTGGCTACAGGCACTGGCATCATCAAGCTGAAATTCTTAATAACTTGTACAAAAAGTTTTCATAGTTTCATATTGCTCTGGGTATCGTACTTGGGGGATTTATGTATACTCCTTTCGGTAGGACCAGTAATTTGAGTAAGGCATTAGGGGACATGTACAAGCTAGTGAGAGTTGCAGTCCCTTCAACTGGGAGCCCCAGGACGGTTGAGTCTACTGGAACTCAGTCCTCCAGCCATGTCATCACCATTGCCATGTAAAACCAGAGGGGCTGTGATGGCATGAAGGAGGCCCCAATGACATAAGAACTCATAGGCGACAGAGACGATCATGAGGCCCTCACCTGAGATCCTAGGCACTTCGTTCTATAACCTCCCCCAGCTGCATGTAATTCTTCCCCAGCTGGGTACTGGGCTGGGCATGTGAGTGTAAATAGGAAATAGAAGGTTGACTGGGCTTGAGAGTCCAAGGAAGAAGCTTTCAGGAGTCATCGCCCATCCTGGGGTGTACTTTTCAGTGACAAAATGGCCTGAGAGTCACCCATGCCCCTGTAGATAGCCCTCACCTATGATTCTGTAGGCAATTCTAATAAGCCCATTGGTCACCAAGATGGACTTGGATGGAATGACATTATGGTTCTCCAGGAAATGTAACACAGAAGTATCAGAGGTCTATGGCTGTCTGGAATAGAAGAATGTGGACTTTCAAACAGTACATATCCTAGGGAGAACTTTAAGAGTTGGATATACTGAAAGGTGCTACGCAGGCTGCTAAGGTGGGCAGGAGTCAGCAACAGTCTTACCAAGCTGTAAGCCCTATGAACTGCAATATTGGGGACCATGGGGGTCCAGCCCCTTGACAGTGCCCTCCCAGGGTCCAGGAAGAGTCTACAACCAGCTGATAATTAATCTTTGATGAAAAGAAATGAATCTATGTACACAAAACTCCTTAGTCCATACACTTTTATTATTCTGTGACAGCTCTCTCTCTCTACACAGCTTCAGTTCTGTTCTTGTGCCTAGCTCCTTTCTTGCCTAATCTCTCTATATTTATCTATTACTTCCTCTAAGTTCTATCTTAATTCTCCCATCTTAATTCTGCCTCATCTAGGTCCTTTTCATCTCGTTCTTACCCAGCTAGGACTTCCCCATCTGACTCTTCCTCATCTTCCATCTCATCCACATGTACTCTCTGGTCAAAATCCTCCTTATCCTCTGTTCTCCGTCTCTAAGTTCTCCATGTTCCCCCTAAGTCTCCCAGGAATCCAGTTATAAACCCAAACAATAGCAAGCCCCTGGTCGAGCAAGGTCACCAGGCTTGAATTCTACAGGGTCATAAAGGCAGGTAAGAATTTTCCTCAGGCAGTGACCACCAGGCTTTCTTTTATCATCCAAAATGGGAGTGGTAAAGGAGTAGGTTGACTGAGTGCTAATGGCCGGTTAGTATATCAAAAAGAGAATCTATGTGCTCAGTCTACATTCCTAGAAGTGGTTAGGTAAGAAGTTAGGGGTCTATTAGTAAGGTTGTATAAGAAAGGAGGGTCTCACCCTAAATTGCACAAGAAATAAAGCTATCCGCCTGACCTAGGAGACAGGTGTTGTTTTGAATGGCCTTGGATGCTTGATAGGCATTTTAGATAAATACTCTGTTAGGAGTTCTTGGAAGCATGCAAGAAAATCATTTTAGGTACCAGCTAATATATATATATATAAAAGCTAAAATATCGCCAAGACTCTTTAAGCCATGGCTTGACCTTTGGAGAAGTCCTTGACTTTTCCAAGTAGTGGCTTTTGTGATAGTAGCTGAATTCCATTATGTTTTCCTGCGACTTGCAGCCCTGCAATAATGACCCATGTGGTAAGATATGTCCATGGGTGCAACAGTTGTATGAATGTTGTTAAATCCAACCACTTCCTGATTGGATTTAAGGCCAACTCTTTAAGAGGAAGCACATGCCTGTTACTGCAAATTTGGCCAGGAATCCAGGGTTTCGGGAGCTTACAAACACCAAGGGTAGATTTACAACTAGTACTTTATAAAGTGGTAGAGTTTCAAACTGACCTCTAAACTTGTTTCTTTCTACCTCTAGGTGAATACAGTTTGTGCAGTGGATGGCAGTTATAGAAACTCAGCTGGTCCAAGTGCAAAACTTTCAGCTGCTCCAGGGGCTTCAGCTTGGTTTGGTCTTACTGTTGACACTCTCTACTCAAATTTCCTTCGGTCCATCCTTATGTTTACCCATCTTCACCTGCCAGCCAACCAGCCATTCCTTCATCTGGACCGAGTTCTGACCTTCTCGCTCTGAAGTTGAACTCAACTCTATAGCTTCTCTCTCAACCCTGTGACCTTGCAGTGGCTTGACTCAGCCAACACAGTTTCTCCAGCTCAGCTGGATTCATGATCTTATCTGTACAGATTCTTGTAGCCCTGTCAGTTTCTTAGTTTTGGCCTCTTGGGCCTCTTTCAATCTCTTTGAAACCCCTGCTTTAACCCTTTGTAGCCATTCCATAACAAATATATCTATATATTCAAACACATACATACATGCATATATGAGGATATATATACACACATATATATACTATTGATATGTAGTGTGATGTGATCTGAGAATTAATGTTAGTAATTAAATTAGAATATTTATCTTAGTTGAAGGAAAGTGGGAATATCTGGCAAATTGCTGCCTTTGAAACTGCTGCAGCTGGCCAATTTATTTTTATTCAATAAATTCTGACATTGTGGAAAGACACAAACATGTTCATCTGTTTCTGACACAGCACACTCATGACACTTTTCTTCTTATACACCCCAAAGTTTCAAATGTGAACCATAAACAACATCAGACACAGTTTTCTCCTATAACCAAGGTCATGTGTTAACCAAGACTCAAGTCCAAACCATCCTCAGGCTGTAAGGAAACAGAATCACTTCACATGTAAAGTCACCGAATCCAGGTATGTCTAACTTACGTGAGCATGCTTTTTTCTTTGTGTTTAAAGACTCTATCCTAAGCAATTTGAATCATTCCTGGTGCTTAATGTATGAGGATATTGATAGAATCATTCTTACTGATAAAGTCTAAGTTTGATAAACATAGAATTAATGTATGACTTCAATGAAAAGCTGTGACATGCAACTAAAGCTGAAAGTTTTAAAGACATTTTAAAAACTGAGCAGTTGTTATGGAGCCAACTGTCTTTTGTAACACGTTTTAACAAGCAGTTAAATACTGAAGTCCTACTACAGCATTCAAACACAAGCAAAAAGTTAACACTCCCAAGAATGCTGTGGTCCTTAGACTATTTAAGCTTAAACCAATGCGATATCTCCCCCAAGCCCTCCATGAACTCTCAGATGAGTATTTGGTTGGGCTTCCTTGCTGTCGGCTACCAACTGGCAAGTGTTGTACAACTTTCATGACTTCACTGAATCTTTAACTACTAACCACCCAAGATGCTCCAGGTACGGTGACAGGATTCTCTGTACTCAGTCTCCATGATAAGCTTTAGTCCTCTACAGATCACTTACAGGTAACCACAGGGCTGGGAGCCAGGGTTTCTGGCAGAGCAGGGGAATGTGAACAAGTGAGGAAGTGATGAATACGAGAACAGTGCTCAAGCCAAGTTCAGAAATCGGCAAGGCGACGATGTGGTGCCCTAGTGACAGCAAAACAGAACCCACCAAACCAGCAAAGAGCCATTCTTTAGAAATATAGTGAAGCATGATCTCAAAGAGCCGGGACCGTGAATGAGACAGAACTGAATTTCAACTCTACCATGGATAAGACACTACTTTGATGAAGTGACTTTCTATCCCCAAGCCTCTGATTTGTTTCAGTCAATTTACTAACAAAAAAAAAAAAAAATCAACTTCTTAGGGGTTTTGTTGTGACCATTTAAATTAAGTTTCTCATACTCAGAAGAATGTTGGGTAGACAGTAATTATGATGGCTGTGTGTGTGTGTGTGTGTGAGAGAGAGAGAGAGAGAGAGAGAGAACAACAACAACAACAATAGCAGAAACAACAACAAGCTGTCTGACTCTAGAAGTCAGTGAGCAGTGGTATTACCTAATTCTCTAATGATCGTTTCTATGAAATCAGTGGATTATTCAAAGCGAATGGTTCTTTCTTTGGCCCCCCTATGAATTGCTGATTCAAGCATATTTCAAGAGAAACACTGTTTGCATTTTCCACTTACTTTAATGTATCTTACCTTAGCTCTGACTTCCAAGTCCTCGTGCTTACGGATTAGCTCCTTGTTGTCGGAAAGTGACGAACCCAGACTCTGTACCCGCAGATCTCTGATCATTTTCTGAAACCAACAAGTAACCTGGGAGAGAGGTGAGAAGAAAGGGCCAGTGCTCAGATGCTTGGGATGAAGGACTAGAACTCAGAAATAATTCTGCGACATTTCACAACAAAGTACTTCAATTTCTTTCTACATAAACTAATTTATATATGAAGTTAATATCATCTAGATTTTTAATGTTCTCTTTATTTCAGCCTACAAATGATTAAGAGAAAAAAGACAAAACAATTCCAGAAAAGCATAGGGATCATGTAGCAGCTACGTGGATTATAAAGAGTGAGGAAAATGATCAGAATCTTCTCCAAAACAGCAACAATACATTCCCATGCAATTCATAAATCTTGCTTTCTTTTCAAATATAACTTTCTTTCTATATATAAAGATAAATCTGAATAAAGTTACATCAACCCAGTTAAAGATTTTGAACAGCATATGTGGAATTATATTTCCTACCACAAAAAAAGAAAATACAAAGTATCTTGTTTACTGGCACTAATAGAAATCCGTATTAAGAAACTAAATGGAAAAGGGACCTTGAATTAGACAGAATTGAATTTCAACTCTGCCATGGATAAGACACTACTTTGATGAAGTGACCTTCTATCCCCAAGCCTCTGACTTTATAAGAATATGATTCAGTTTCATGTATTGCTGATTCATGCCACATGCTGTGTACTGTCAAAACAATGAATATCATGGAACTTGAAAACAGCAATAAATATTTTTCTTACTTTAATTTTTCCATTAGTTAAACTTTGGGGGAGTATGGATATTGAACCCAGGGTCTCACACAAACCAAACAAGCATTCTACCACTAACTAAGTCCCTGAAATGTTGCATTTTCAGAAATGTCAATTTTTAAGAGACACCATAACTTGAAGTTGTAGTCAGAAGTTTTCCTGTGTCCCACCTGGTCCCACAGCCGCATGGACAAGTAAACATATAGAAGCTTGCATTACTTACAAACTGTATGGCCTAATGACTCAAGTTTCTCAATAGCTAGCTCCTATAACTTAACCCATTTCTATTAATCTATAAGTTGCCACATGACTGTGGCTTAAAGGTACTGTCCCATCTTGCTTCTCCTGGCAGCAGCTGGTGTCTCTTCCACCTCTCTTTTTTTCTTCCTCTCTCTCCAGTTGGAATGTACAGCCTAACCTTAGTCTGCCTCACTATTGGTCAAACAGCTTTATTTATCAACCAATAAGAGTAACACATATTCATAACATACAGAAAGACATCCCACAGTATGACGTGAGACTTCTGACTTAAGACTCCTGAACACAGGACCCTTATATCCATTAAATGGATTACAGCTAGATTTGTATGATCTGCTTCTGTATAGTATTATCCCCTGAATCATCCCATAATGATTAGTTTTTAAGAGGCTGCACTATAAACTAGATATTTTGCTAGTTGAGTTGAGAGCATCTTTGTTTTTCTCATTAAGTCCATAACAAGAGCAATATAACCATATGAATGTAGAGAAAAAGTAAATGAATTTGGAGAGATGAAGCAGTTTATCCAGGGACAGATGGTAAGCATCAGAGGAGAGGTCTGCCCCAAGTGTACATGATTCCAAGATCCATGCTCTTCTCTTGTGCCCTGCACCACAGTCCTGCAACCCACAGCCTTCCAGCCTTGTTGTCTGGGGAAGCTGCTGCCAAACCTCAAGAATGAAAATTGGCAGCCTGTTCAAAATGATGGGCGCAGCCAAGATTCATACTGTGTCTTTCTGCAGCCTGTTATCTTGTCTACAACAGCCATGGGCTTTCTTCCAACTCCCATAACAGGAAGAAAACCATGAAGCAGGAAGCTAAGGAAAAGGCTGTTAGGTCTGAAGTTCCAAACTGAAAATGTCCCTCACACACCCAATGACAGAGGTAGAGGCTCATCTAAAATAAGGTACCCTGGACCACCATGGAGATGGTGAGGCAAAGCTGATCTTGAAAGAAGGTTTGAACCAACTCAGCATTTTCTCAGCATAAAATAGACAATAAGTTAGGAGGTAATAGGGTTTCTGCAGTTTGCCAAAGTTTTAGCCTTTTTATCAATGCAAACAAACACATTGATCCTGTAGCTATTTTTATGTGAAATACACCTTCTTTGTAATATTGGTAAACTATGTGATATATGTGATATTTGATATATTTCACATGACCTGTCTATCTACAATAAGGAACTATAAATCTATATTGTAAATGTACATATATTATAAATATGTAGGTATATACTTACAATTCCTTAAAGCCATTTTTTTCTGGTATCCAATTAGAACCAGATGGTAAGTACAGTGTACATATGAAGACACACAGAGAGCACTGAATTAAGAACAATAAAATTTATTTTACTTTTTTATAAAGTAATTTCTCATGACAGTACCAGTGAGTGCTTACAGACATGTGACTAGAGGGGTGATTGGAGGGTTTTCCTCAAAGAGATGATGAATATAACTAACTCTCAGAGGTTATTTAGTTAAGCAATGGAGTGAGTGTTTTCTATTCCTAGCTAAAGTTGGGGTGGGGGCAGACATCTCAAGAATGTTTTATCATGGGGCAGCTAATATGAAAGCTGAGTGAATGAAGCATGGATGGAAACAGCTGTTCACTAATCTCCCTAAACAGGTGAGAAGCCTGAATCCTCAGATAATCCTATTTAATTTGTGAGTCAAAAACTTGTCACCTAACACGCGCCAGAGATGATGAAAGCTAGGAGGGAGTGACTGCTGGTTTTTTTGCTGTTGTTTGTTTTGTTTTTGACACGGCACCTTCCCATATAGCTCTAGTTGGCCTGGAACTTGATATGTAGCCCAGGTGGGCTTCCAACTTGAAGATTTCTGCCGGCCTCTGCTCCCCAAGTACTGGGATTAAAGTTGGGCACCGCTGCATCAGCTGGTTTTGATTTGAAATGGTATTGACTGACGTCATCCTGTAGATTTGCCTGACATTATTTCAGCCCTCAGTGCTACTATTCCTACTGAGCAATGCCTTATAGGTAGAAAATTGTGATGATATTCCATAGCTTTCATCCATGTATCTGCCTTTTAAAGCATGTGACTCTAGATCTACACTTTTTTTTTTTTCCTAACAAGATGCATTTCAGGAAGAAACAAAAACCAGTTGGTATGAATGTTTGAAGTGAGTAGATCATTGTTAGCATATTACACCTCATCATGAGGCATTCAGACAGAAGAGCAGCCTCCTGGATCAGGTTTACCACCTGTGCTCTGGGATACATACAAAACAGGCTTAGAGTCCTTCTCGGGCTAAAACAAGACACTCTAAATAACCACTAGAGAATCCACCACAATACTCTGATACTTATTCAATCATTCATTACATCCCACAAGTCGTTACTACAGACAGCTGCACAGCTATTCCAAGGGTTCTTTTTATAAGCTTTTAAATTGCATCAGTTGCTGTCCAAAGAGCCTGAGTGATGAGGGCAGCCAATAGGCACCTCTGTAGAATAGTGCCACAAAAGAGGCATGAGGGAAGGAAGAGAGAACAAAAAACACTCAGAGAACACACTGGAAATTGGTTCTGAGTATCAGTCAGTAGGATACGGGGAGAAATGAAAACTTTTCCTCATCCTTCTCAGTCCCTACCATCTAGCTTGATTCAACTGATGTACTTATGATCACTCGGATGGTTATCATGGCTTCTATGTCTTCAGAGGAGGCAGGATTAAATCAGAGACTATATAGGGCAGATCTTTTGGGTGGCTGAGATAGCCATAAGGAGATGAGGAGAGACAGAAGCAGGTCAACAAAGATAAAGAAAGAAAGAAAGGAAGAAAGGAAGAAAGGAAGAAAGGAAGAAAGGAAGAAAGGAAGAAAGAAAGAAAGAAAGAAAGAAAGAAAGAAAGAAAGAAAGAAAGAAAGAAAGAAAGAAAGAAAGAAAGAAAGAAAGAATTTGGATGTTGATAAAAATTAAGAATTATCTAGAAAATTGAAGAAGTCAGAAAAATTCTGCCAAGTAGACTTGCACTGCCCAATAGAGTAGCCACCACCAGCATACTAGCTGGACTATGATTAGTCTAACCTGAAAAGTTCTATCACTATGAATATAAACTGCATATCAGAAATTGTGGGCTTTCCGTATTTTAAAAAGTGCAAATATCTCTTTGGAATTTTGTGTACAGTATCATCAAAATCATATTTGGATATGTTGAGTTAAATAATAGATATTATTTTTCACTTGTTATGTGACTTCTTAAAGCCTTTTTTTTTTACTCCTCTAATGGCCACCGGGATATTTAAAATCATGTGTATCCATTGCATTATATTTCCTTTGGCTGGCTATGCTAGTCAAGGGAATTCGAAATATCTTTAGTTGTTAAATCTAAATTTGAAGACTGACTCAGATTTAACTAGGGGAGTTTAAATAGCAGAACCAGGAAGGGTGGAGTGAAGTATCAGTCAGCAAACATTTGGGGACTTCCAGATGGGGGTGAGGAAGAATTTCTGGGGAGCCTTCTGCAGGAGTTGAGCTCATCAGCTAAGCATTGGAAGATGGCTTTTTAGGGACAGCAGAAGCAGCAGAGATGTTCATCGGCTTAAAAAAAAAATCCATTCTTTGATTGGGGGAGGTGTGGTGCTTTACAGTGGGGAACCGAAGGTGTGCGAGCATTGAAGGAAGGAGGTGTGGACCAGACTGAAAGGGAAGTTGGAGAATGCTGTAAGTGTCTGCAAGCCTTGGACATGGGAGGGCTAGTATCAATGGAACATTCTCCCAAGCACTCCTACCAAAAGAAACAAAGAAAGAAAGAAAGAGAAGAGGGTGGTGAATTTCCCAGAGCTTCTCTATGCACCTTGTAATGTTAACTCAGCCAGTGTCCACCCTCTTCCTGCACTGAGACAACAAATGATGAAATAGACATGAGACTGTAAGGTATGTGTGCCCAAGTTTATGCAGCCAGCAAAGAAGAAAGTCAGTTGGGAGCAGTTAAGGCCATGGTCAGACTCCATGCTTCCTGATCCAGTACTTACCTTTCCTTCCCATCCCATCCTGCTACTGAAA